AATCAGACATACAACATAGAAATCTTCAATACTCTGGTCATTTTGTTGAAGAGCACGAATGTCATATTCTAACTGGTATTGTTTAGCAAAATTAGACTGAGTATACATTCTCTCCAAGTGATTCCAAACTTCCTTTGATGTGTCATATTTAGTCAGCTGCATACCAATAGACTGAGTAACAGAATTATTAATCCAAGTAATGACCTCACTACAAAAAAATATATCATTTAGTGGCACACAAAAAATGCCACTAAAACCCCCAAAAATGTCACTAAAGGCTTCTAAGAGAATCAGCGACACATATAATAAGTGTCACTAGAAACGATCCCACTAAAACGCTTTAGTGAAACTTTTTGTTTTTGTCGCCGCAGGTTTTTAGGCTTTTAGTAGCATTTTTTTATTTGTCACAATAGAAGAAAAGTTTTTTGTGGCATAAGTTTTGTGCCACTAAAGCTCATGTTATTAAAAAATTCGTTCAACTTTTAGTTACACAATTTAAGATTTTAGTGGCACTTTTTCTATTTGCTACAAAAAAATTATAGCATATTTTGCATCCGTAAATGCTCATGAGATTCTATAATTTAGGCTATTTATATCTGTATAGTTTTTATCTATAATATAAAATAATATAAATAATTAAATTATAGTAGGTAGAAAATAATTAAAATTCCATTGTTTTTCATCAATATTTTTAAACTTTTTGAATCCAATATCCAAGTAAATATCACATACGTATAAATGTGAAATCAAGTACATGCTAAACAAAAAATAACCGAACAAAAATAATAATAAAGAACTTCAAACTTAATTGCAGATGAACTTCTTCCCCAAATTCCATGCTAGGTTGAATAAATTATGTTATCTAATACGCTCGAATCAATACTAGCAATTCATGTCCAAAAAAACAAAGACGATTCAAAATTAAGTTAAATAAGGCATAGTTTATCAAATAAATAATATAACATTAAATAAGGCATAGTTTATCAAATAAATAATATAACATTAAACACAAATCAACTGTCTATAAGAAAAAACGGGAGACGAAAGCACATAAAACTGATTACCATTGTTATGATGACTTTCAGAAGATCATCTTTGGTTAACTTTGGTTGACTGACTTAACTTTCAGTGATATGATCATCAATGGCTACAAAATATAATGAGGATTTACATATATGAGTTATATAGCACATTTACATATATGAGTTATATAGCACACTCCTATGGTGTACATGCAACCCTAGAAACCTTGGATCTATGTTTGACTAAGATACATGCAAATAATTATTTTTCCAAGGTTCTTATCCTAACAAGCATGGCATGGGGTACTTGAATCAAATAAAACTAGTAGAATTACTTACCTTGTAGTAGTAGTTGATTGCTTGGAGTTTGAGAGCCTAGCACCAATAATGTGGATGCCTCAAATGGAAGTCACAAATCACCACAAACTTGGAAACTTGAGAGAATAGTCACCAACTTCTTGAAATCGGCCCTCTTAGTTTACACACATCAACTAGTACAATTTCAAGAACCAAAGCCTCCTTTATATAGTGTGGTGGATTAGGGTTACATCCACGTAAACCCTAATACCCATGTCTTTTCATTTCCATGAGATCCATGGGTTAAAGCTCCATGGAGTATCCATGGACTTTCCATGCAAGCCTAGCCCATTCCAAATAAGCATTAACCCACACTATATAAATACAAGAGCCCATATTTAATTAGTCATACTTTTGATCTCTAAATTAATTATAGATCAACACTAATTAAATAATATGATTTTATATTAATATATTAGAACTTATAATATATTAATAAATCATAACTTATACTATTCTCAAAAGATTATCCGTAAATTGTTCGGGTGAAGTGCAACCCAAATGGACCATGCCGGGTCGGGTCAAGTACATACCAAATATAGTTATGGACTTAGACACTATCTCCAACAGTCTTCCATTTGGATAAGTCTAATAACTATAGTTGCAAGTATGACTTCACATAAAAATGCAAAATACTATGCAAAAGTTGAAGATAATCACATTCAACGAAAACGCATAGAATTTGTAGCATATGTTTGTTGTTATTAAATGGACTGTGTCAATGCAAACCAGAGTTTTCACCCAGCCTCCCTAAAAACGAATCTAGTCAAGATCATTGCACACTTGTGTCAACAAACATAGTCGCATTTGTAAGTTAACCACAATGAATTCATTCAAGTCTAAATTCAAGCATAATTTTATTGATTTCCTTGTTTGTTCGATGAATTAATCATCCAACAAGCAAATGATACGCTATGGTTACTTACCTAATTAATCGAAACGGTCCTATTGTATGCATAATTCTTCATAAAAGCAAGCAAATGAACAAGCAAATTTATAATTTATCAACAACATGAAAACATCACATATTGCAGTACCAATGGCCACAAGGACCATGACATGGAGAGGAGAAGGAGCCGAAACAGATAGGAAACAGTCGTCAGCCGGCGGTCCATCTCGAACGGTCAATGTTTTCCCTCCTTATTAGGAACTAAATCGATTGTGCTGACTGTGTTCCAAATTCTTCAGTTTCAGTTTCCATATCGATATCGGGATATTACAAGTAGATAAATCGATGAAGATATCGACTCTTGGTGATGAAAATGGAGACGAATCATGAACATGTAAAAAATACGCGTACGATTCGTATCAGAGAATTAGTTAGGGTTATGATTTTGTATATCAATCACTCTCAACGAATTTATATGTATCTCGTGTGTATGCCGACAAAAGAAAACAAAGAAGTTATCCACTGCTACCAATAATTTATTAGTTTTCTTTGCTCATACTCGTGGTCTTCAAAATCAAAAAATGTTCAGATGGACCAAAATCGTGATTTTGGTAAGATTAGGGACCTATTTTTTAATTTACTCTTAATTATACTATGTAATATATTTTTAATAAAAAGAACTTTTAATGGAATATTAAAACATTATGTCACTAATAATTATGAATATTAGTGACATAAAATGTTAAATAATTGTGAATATTAGTGACATAAAATGTTAAATAATTGTGAATATTAGTGACATAAAATGTTAAGTGCCATTAAATCTATTAATTTTTATAATGACACATAAAATATGCCACTAAAAAATATGATATAGTGGCACATAGAACATATGTCATTAAAAATGTATGCCACTAAATAACATATTATTTGTAGTGCATTGGAGTTATCAGTCTCCCAAGCATCAACCAATAAATCGAAATTCTCAGCTTGAGGCGCTGAGGGTTTGGCTTTAGTCCCAGTTACATAGCCCCAGATACTCTTCCCACGAAGGAAGTTCTTCATAACATAACTCCAATACGTATAATTCTTTCCATCTAGACGAAACCTGATTGACTGAAGGGAATCATCCTTTCCAGTTATGTTGACAATTAAGGAGTAACAAACCAACGGAAGCAATCAATCGGACAACAAGAAATCGAACAACAACAACGAATCAGCAGCAACAACAAACGAATACCATCAAGCAAACGAAATTTACCAATGAAAAAACATCAACAGTTTGAGTGAAACTTCCTTTGAAACTGCTACAGATGACTGCTACAAAAAGCTTCTAACAATGTATCAAACCTCCGCTCTGATACCATGATAACATTGTCATATGATTATGATAAAGAGAAATTACAAGCGTTCTCAATGAAAAGCATAAAGACTACAAATAATAAAGCGGATATAAATACTAGCTAGACAAAACCATAATGGGCTAAAGGCTAAAGGGCTCATAAAAAAGTGGGCTAATAATATATAGGCTAACAATTCTCATACATAAACTTATGTTGTTCTCTTTTCAAAAAATTCATGAATAAGAAGTTTTAACTATATCTTCATAAATGTGCAAAATATGACGAATAAGAGTTTTAATATATAACTAAAGAGGCTATTTTGTATAAGAGGAAAATAAAAGTTTTAATGGAAAAGTACATAGGCTTAATTGAATATATGAGCCTCTTTGAATGTGAAGCTAGGTTTGTGTTAAAAACACAGAAAACCAAATGTTGTTATTTGGAAATGACCTAGTTGTTAAAGAACTGCTATAACCCTTATTAGGCAAAGTGAAGATGTTGGAGGCAGAGCATAGAACACGGTTCTATTCTAAAAGAACAGGTCATATGACATTACAACTAAAGGACCCGGTTGTATAGTTAAAAACCGGCTTATTGAATTTGGCATATAGCCCGGCCACTCATTCTGAACTGTGTCTTATAGATATATCTCTTATAAAACCCGGTTCCTGTAACTATAAAGCTTAATAATCAAGCCTATAACTATAAAGCCTAATGGATGTATAAGACCGTAAAAGTCATGCACCTAAGTTAATTAGGACGTAAATAAATAACTTTTCTCCGATTTTATGAAATTTAGTAGATTATAAATCAATTTAAATTATGTTTAGTATTTGCATTCAATACCGGATTGCAGAAAATCAGTTTATAGGGATTCAAATTGAATGATGCAAAGGTAAAACCAGATAGTGAAATGATGCAATATGTATATATGAGCAATTTCATTTTGATGAAAAATGGTTTGTGGAAATGACACGTAAAAATGATTCATTTATTAAAATGGGAAGATGTGAAATATTATCAAATTAAATATGAAATACATTAATTTTAGGGAATATTTCTCATTTAAAAATTATGAAATGCATTATTGGTGACACCATAGAGGCTAGAAGGGGCTATCAGCGATATTTTTTCCATCCGCATTCTTAGTGACACCATAGAGGCTAGAAGGGGCATTAGCAATGACCATGTTAGTGTCACAACTATTGCCCAATTTTCCTGTAATGTGATTCCGTCAAAATTTATAACCTATCGGTATTAGAAGTCGGAAAGTAGTTTCCCTCTTCCAAGGTAAAGTTTTGGGGCTCAAGTTTTGTTTTGCACTTTAATGTAGTTTAGGATAAATTAGTAGTAGTTTAGAAGAATATAATTGAAATTTTTTAAGGATTGGAAACAAAGCTTTACTATATTTCAAGTTATACATATATTACACATTGGGCTACAAACTTGAACTCACATATAAATGCATATGTATAACTTTATCATGCCTCACTTAGATATACCAAGCAAGCAAATCCCTCCATGATTGTTGCATATAATATTTCAAGAACAAAACTAATTGGTCCCGAGATTAATTGAAATAAATCAAACATGGTTAGGTGTAGAATTTGGTGGGCTGGGAAACGACGCCACCCTCCCTCCACGCTCCGACCGGCTGTTCTCGGCAAACTTAATGCTTCCTTGGTGCATCCCCTTTTGCTTCTCCTCCTCCGTCCACTCAGAAACATAATAATTTTCCTCACTGCCTTTGACTTGATCATTACTAGCCGGAAAGAACATGCTCCCCCACTGAGGAAAGTGAACCAAACTCACTGGAAGTGTACAACATATGATCATGATACCCATGTAAGACAACCCTTTTGCAGTCGAGAATGATGCGTTTGCAAAGAACACTAATTGGGTCAGCCCAGATCCAAAGTTTCCACCGGCTCCGGTCATTCCTGAGATGATACCTAGAGACCTTCTGGAAATGAAAGGGATGATGCCGAATGTTGCACCACATGCAGCTTGTGCTCCGATGGAGAAGAGGATCATAAAGGTGATGGCTAAAGGTAAGGAGTTGACTAGGCCGAGGCAGACGCAGAAAATCCCTCCGGCTGTCTGGAGAAGCCATAAGTTCCATAGTCGGCCACGCATTCCAAACCTTTTGGCCATGAAATCTGATGTCCATCCTCCAAAAGGTCGAGCAAGGATGTTTGCCATTCCGAAAGTAGCAGCAACAATGCCAGCAAGATGAAGCTTTAGATCAAATCTGTCGTAAAAGTACTCAGCAATGACATTGTCAATACTTAATTCTACACCCATGGAGTAGCCATAGAGGAGTACAAAGATCCATGTCCTATAGTTTGTGACTGCATACCATAACACCTGGAAAAACGATAACAAATTAAATCACAATCTCAGTATCAAATTGACATCAAAATTCTTTCTTTAATTATTCAATGGCCAAGTTTGAAAAATATATACATACCCTGCCGAATTTATCTTTGGCGACATCACCCTTCTTCTGAAGAGCACCGAGGTTACCATCTGGTAAATCTTGGCCGAGAGTTAACACCAAAATCCCCATAATAACATTCATCCACCCGGGTATAAAAAAGGCAATTCTCCACGCTGTAAACGGAGTGGCACCGGCCTTCTTGATAATCTCGAACAACACCGGCATCAAGAGCTGTGTTGCACCACCACCCATGTTTCCCCATCCGGCAGCTGTCCCATTCACTAGTCCAATGATTTTACCGTTAAACATGGTGCTCATCCAGTACTGACAAGACACAAATGTCGCCAAAGAGAACCCTATCATGAACCTCACTGCGATATACCCACTTGCATCTTCCACCAACGCCATGCAAAACACCGTTGGAGCAGACAGCATGATGAGGAAAGCACAGCCGTAGCGGGGTCCCAGCATATCACATACAGCACCCATTACAAGCCTGGAGAAAATGCTTCCAGACACGGATGCAACACCAGCATTCCCGATATCTGATTTTGTGAGATTAATATTGTCCCGGATGATGGGAACGAGTGGAGCCGCAGCGAAGGTGGATACAAAGGTGGTGAAGAAAGAGAGCCACGAGAGATGGAAGGTTCTCATGTGAGGGTTTGCCAAAGAGAAAAGCTTGAAGACTTTTGCCTTGTGTTCAGAGTCTACCGGAAGGTCGAATTTGGCTGTGGTATCAGTGGGTACCATGGGAGAAGCCACAGAGAATGCCAGAACCGGCTCCCGTCCTGTGACTCCATGCATGGAAGTCCCCGGAGATCCTTCAATTTGATCAGGCATAGTATATTACTTCTATACTCTTCAAATTGTTCTTGATCTGGGGTGAGATATTTTTGGAGTATGGAAGGATTGTTTATATAAGGTAATTGCAAAACCATCTTCGAAATACAGTGATGAGCTGGAATTCCGAACTTGGGAGTCGTGTTATGAATATTGTAATTAGGGTTTAAAAAGTTGACATTCGAGGAGAGCTTAGAATAATGATGTATGGCTTGTTGAGATTCCCAAAAGGTTGGGAGTTCTGTAGATGGCAGGAATCCCGTTTGCCGCATCTTGTGATAAGAGACTTATTGTAGATACCAAACGATGTCTATCCTTATCCAGGGCATTATAATTAATCAATAATTGCAAGTTATATTACAGCAAAGTATACACAGGGACACGTTGACATTTGACTATGTTTCAAAGGTGTGATCACACATATTCAAACTGATTAAAAGTATTTAATTATAGACTATCGACACGACGATAATAAATATAATGAGTTTTAGTAAACGTATTTATGATATATTTATCATTAATTTTCTTCAACTTATTTTTTTAGTTTTGAAAGTTAGTGTTTCTAATTAACTTCATGTAACCATTGCGAAAGGAGTTAGTTTTCATGCATATCTGGCATCTAGTTAATTTTTTTTTGGGGGTTTTAGTGTTGCAATTTTCTTTAATTTCTTTTGTTATTCTCTTTTGCCATTAATTATGTAGTTGTAATTTAAAAGTTTTTATTTATCCGGTTTCAAAGGATTTCCTAGTTATGATTGCTGACGTGGGATACGCTTGAGGAGAGCTGGATTATATTCGGGCATGGCTACATACACCAAAGGTAGGTTCTAGTAACTATCTAAACGTTAATATTTTCTATAAATTTTTTAGGACCTATATTTTAGTATTGGAAAAAAATAAGGACCTATTTAATTTTTAAAGAATGAACATATGGTTTTTAGTTCTAGATTCGTCATTGGTGTTTGGGATTGTTTTTTAACCTAAAAAGTTCTTTTTAACAAAATGACTTTTTGACTCATAGTTTTTACTAAAAGGAGGCTTTAAAATGTGTTTTGATCAATTTTTAAGGAATGAAATGCCAAAAAAACCAAAAGTTACCAAAAGTCACAAATTCATGATTTTTAAAACCATTTTTTTTCTTCTTGCCAAAAAAATCATTTTAGAAGGAATTTTAGATTTCCCAAAACATCTTTTCAAACTTTTAGTTTTTTAAAAAAGTCAAAATCCAAAAAATGTGTTTGTACAGACTTGTTTTTATAGTACAGTAATACAAGAGAATTTTTAATAAAGTTTTAAATTTATTTTTTTGGATAAAAAAGTAACGACTATTTAACATTTTGAATAGAAAAAAAAAACTGGCTAATTTATTAATTTTAGTCATTTTTAATATGTTTAGCAGGTCATGACACCAAACCGTTAATTTTTCCAAACAATGAGATTTTCCTATAGATTTCGTCAAAAGTTGTATATAATGTATAAACATATTTTTTATGTATGTATATATATCTATTTTTACGTATTTTTTAAGTTTATATATATATATATATATATATATATCTTTTTATGTATTTTAAATGCATATTTTTTATGTATTTATCTGGATTTTTAAGTATTTTACATATTTTTATATATTTTCATGTGTTGTTTTTTATGTACTACATATTTTTATGTATTTTTTAAGTTTATTATATAGATGTTTATGTATCTTAAATGGTAAATATATCTTTTTACGTATTTATATGTATTTTTAAGTATTTTATATATTATTTATGTATTTTTATATGTTTTTTCTGTATTACGTATTTATATGTATTTTTACATATTTATGTATTTTTTTAAAAAAATATATATATAGATCTTTATGTATTTTAAATATATAGCCGTATTATTTTTATGTATTTATGTTTTTTTTTACTTTAAGTCGTTTTCACAATTTCATCCAGTTTTCATAGCTTTTTCGAGTATGTCTAGATAGTTTTCCTACATACCTACATATTTTAAGTATTTTGCATATCCTCCCTAATAAATGAAAATAATTTTGCCACATGTCACTCTCTCATTAACTTGGGCACATGTCATTTTTTGGTATTTTTGAATAATTATTTTTTCCATTTGTCATTTTTCAATTTTAATCTTTTCTTAATTAACACATCATATTTACACTTCAATTAATAATTGCCTTAATTAAAAATAACTAATAAATTACAATATTACTACTTATATAATATTTAATATGTTTCCTTTTAAATTCAAATTTTAAATTTTAAATTTAAAATCTAAAATTTAAAATCTAAACAAATTTTTGTTTAACCTTTCATATTTAATTTTTTTGTTTTATCCAACCCATATAACATACGGCTCTTACAACTAATGTGTGTATATAGAAAACCATTTAAACATACTCTAAAAAGCTATGAGAATGACATGAAATGGTGAAGACTACTTGAAGGAAAAATACATAAATACACAAAAAATAATATGGTTATACATTTAAAATACATAAACATATATATAAAAAACTTTTTAAAAAAATACATAAATATGTAAAAATATATATAAATACATAATACGTAAAAAACACATCAAAATACATAAAAAAATATTTAAAATACTTAAAAATACGTATAGAAATATTTTTATACATTTAAAATACATAAGCATCTACATAAGAAACTTAAAAACACATAAATATGTAAAAATACATATACATAAGTAATATATAAAAAAATAACACATAAATACACACACACACACACATACACACACATATATATATATATATATATATATATATATATATATATATATATATATATATATATATATATATATATATATATATATAGTTTAGGTTCTATAGAAAACAAAAACCCTAAAAATCATAAAAATGCATAAAAAAAATACTTAGAGATCACAAAACTTTTTTTTGAATTTTTTTATAAAAAATCGTAGCTTTTTTTCTTAAAATTCGCTGAAAAAAAAAAATCAAATTTTTTTTTTATAAAAAAAAAAATTTCAAAATTTTTTTCAACAAATTTTTATAGAAATCTACGATTTTTTCAAAAAAAAGTTTTGTGATCTCTAAGTATTTTTTTATGCATATTTATGATTTTTTGGGTTTTTTTAGGGTTTTTTTGTTTTCCAAATAACTCTTCCCTATTATATATATATATATATATATATATATATATATATATATATATATATATATATATATATATATATATATATATATATATAGAGAGAGAGAGAGAGAGAGAGAGAGAGAGAGAGAGAGAGAGAGAGAGAGAGAGAGAGAGCTAGATTTATATATAACCTATAAGTATTGTGTGAATGTATGGCTAATTATAGACTAATCATTTAATATGGTAATTGTGGAATTTTGTTAATTAAATTATTTATTATCTAATATAAATTCCTTATAAATATGGTAACTTATTTGTGATTTCCTATAACTATGGTAGCAGGTAACTACACGTCGGCCAAATTTTTACTTACATCAACCCTTCTCAAGCCCTTGCATCGCCATCACACACAATTGCCGACGCCCCTGCTTCGCCATCTTCTATTCACTAGGTGTAATTCGAGATAGTTTTAATTCAATTTATGTTTAATTTAATTTAGGTCTAATGATTTTTCTGTTTAATATATTTTGGGGTTTAATTCGATTTTGGGTTAACTTTTTTGTTGTTTAATTTGATTCATGGTTCAATTTTTTTGTTGTTTATTGAAGAGGCGTAATGTTATGTGTGAAGGTTACTAGGTTACTGAATTGGAGGCCCATGTCTACTATTTCTATTTAACTGGAGCGAATCTATGCCATGGTTGATGTTACCTGGTTATTGGTGATACTTGGTTTTGGTTATGTTATTTAGAGTGTAACAATTGAATGAGAATGATTCGTAATAACCCAAAAAACAAGAACCCATCAAATTCAACAAAAAGGCATAATAAAATCATTAAAAACTCTCCAATTGAGTAGTCTTCCTGTCACCAATTTTAGGTAACAAGTATGTGGTACTTCTTTTTCTTCAATTTTTTTTCTTCTTTGATAAATCATTGGCCAGGTGTGAAACTTAAGTTTTAGTTCAGTTTAAGCTTCTCATTGTTTAATGCTCAAAATCCATTTCCCAAAGATCATGATATGTCTTTTTTTTTTATAGATTCAAAGGTTGCTTTGATTAATATTAAAACTTCAGGTTCTTCTTTTAAAGACTTTATTGTTCTTATTTATTACTCTACCATATGTAATTAATTTTATTTCATTCGGAAATAATTGTAAGAATTTTTGTTTATATCACAAGAATAATTGATTCATGGATTTTTATTTTTCATATTTGGTACTTTTTTCATTCTTAATGAATCCGATCATATTCTTGTTGAATATGTTTAATTTCTTATATTTTTTTTTCATTATTACCAGAATTTGGTAACATATTTTAAAAATATGCTAAATTTCTTATAATTCTGTTCTGTTAGAATTTTTTTTATATCACAAGATTTTTTATTTCAGTGATTTTGTTTCTTATATATGGTATTTTTTATCTCATTCTTAAAGAATGTATCCCATTCTTGTAGAATATACTTAATTTGTTATATTATTTTTTTAATAACTTTTATTGATAATGGATGTAATATTGTTTTAAAAGTTTTTTTTCATGTAGAAGAATGGAAGGTATAATAAAAACTAATTCGTGAATGGAATGTATACCAATGGAATGCAGAAAAATGTTAAACTTAATATGGTTCTTGAAGAATGGCATGCAAAATTGAAGCTGGTTTATGAAGAACGAAATACAGAAGACTGAAATGTTGATTTGGATTTGAAATGTTACGTTTTTATTTGAAATTTCCTTGGATTTTTTATTTGTATCCCTTAATAAATGCATTTTCCTAATTTGTAATTAAACAAAATGTCAAATTAGTTGTTTTACTATATAAAATATTAATTTGTCCACAGTTAATTACCATCACATCATTGTTATCATAACCACCCATTCTTTTAATCTAAATGACCAAAATTAGTCATACATTAACATAATAGTTCTGATTCATA